CAACAAAGAAAGATCTGTACACCTGAGGAATAAAAAAGCACACAGAGCTGTAGAAGAGAAAAAACCCAGACATGCTTCAATTATAAAATGTTTGAAATAATTAAGACAATGTGATCCAAGCATCTACACCCCTTTTTATTTATTCACAAAATAAACTGATATTTAAGAGCTTATTTTTGTTATAGTTTGATTAAAACCATCAAGCTGGAGGCTGGCGCGTTGTTGTTTTTCTCCAGCTGTTTTCAGTGAGGCGCTGTTCCTCTGCCGCTACAGCAGGGGGCAGCAGCGTCCTCAAACAGCTTGTTAGCTCGTTGAAGGTGCGGCAAAGAGGAACAGCAGCCGGGACGGCATCGCTAGCTGCTTGCTAGGGTGTTTGACGTTTATTTTTTTATGTCCCATTTTTCCAACTAAAACCGACATTTCAATCATTTTTAATAGGCTGTAGTGAATGAAGAACTTGTTTTATCTTTTTAAATTAGTAAGGAGCATTTTGACAGAAACCGAGACACAAAAAWATATATATTTTTACGCTCAGCCGGAAAATTATTGGAGCTAAGCTAAAAGATCGTGGCTAATTCTATGATAGCTAGTTAGCTAGCTTTCGCAACTGCGTTAAAGACCTACATTTTTTGATTGAGTTTCTTTTGTAAGCGTTTGCGATGGCTGATGTCGATAAACTCAACATAGACAGTATTATCCAACGGCTTTTAGAAGGTGAGTAGGTTATAAAATATTACATACACGAAAATTTCATTTTTTAAATAGGCCAAATGTGAAACAATACAGATGCGCAGCTACTAGCCTCTCAGGAAATACCGCTAGTATTWAAGTATCCTCTGATTATGTAATTTGTCTGTTTATTTATAATAACGATTCGTCACCTAAAGCGTGCGGTAATTTATCAGTATATCATGTGAAGACTTGTTAAAAATGTCTTGCACAGAAATATTGCGCACACTGGTGTTACACCGCTTTCTGTGACCCAGTTGTTTTGTGACCTGATTAGGGTTTTCATCGGTCGCAAATGTTTTTACAGTCTTTACTTCATTTCAACATCTGTTTACAAACAAGAAGGTACACAGCACACGTATGTAGTGACCTGTACGGATATATGTGGCCCATCATATCGAAATGAGGATTAAGTCAAATTTGGTCCAAATGACGTTACTACATTTTCAAAATATTGGCTTTAAAAGCTACATTTTGATACCTGGATCATTCTGATATAAGCTTAGCCAGAGATATGATTTAATTTGTCTTGTCGGTTACAGTAAAACATTACTGTTTTGTCTGAATCCTACTTTTATGTAAATTTATTAAGTAATTTTTGTGTCAAAATAAAGAGGAAACCTCAAACAGTATTTGTATATTAAGATTTCCCAGTTGGAAAGTAACAAAAGCATTGCTAGCTCACAGTGAAAAATTCAAACTTCACTGATTTTGAGGCATTTTCCCTCAAAGTCAGGTTTTTTGTTGCTACAGCACAAAAAATGCTTCAAAAATGTTTTTAGGATTATTTTTCAGACAGTTCTTTCAAATGATACATTGATAAGGCATTAATTCATTATATTTTGACAAAAGGCAATTTTTGCATGTTTATATCAGAACCCTATATCTGCCTATTTCTCCACATTCCACTTTTGGACTTAATCCTCATTTCGATGTGATGGGTCACATATTGTTTTTGACTAATTTGAAGTGGGTTTCCGATTGTAGCTTTCCCCCCTAAATTTAATATTTTTTCCAATTTTTCACAACTGAGCATCTTTAATCTGCTCTAGTTTTAAAAGTRCAGTACGTCCACACGTCAAACCTGTACTGGATTATTATACACTGCTTCCAGAATATTTAAAACCAAGTTTGAGATTTGTGAAACTTTTATTTGCTCAGTAACATTTAATAAAGGGTCAAACAKGTGGGTTTTTTTTTTGCATCTGGACCACACTAGACTTGGTCCAGAATCAAAACTGCAACACAGACTCTTCAAACCAAACGTGAGTGCAGAATAATGTAGTCCAGATTTGAATAGTCTAGGTGTTGTAGTTTTGAATCTGGACCAGGTCTAGATGCATAAAAAGTGCTTTAATGGCCCTTTATTGAAGTTTCACAAATCCCTAACTTTATTTTAAATATTCTGGAATCAGTGTTGAATAATCCAGTACAGGTTTGACATACATACATACATACATGTATATATATACATGTAT